AGCTGCTCTTTATTGAAGGTATGTTTTTAAAAGCACTTCAATGGCTTTTTAAGTGGCTTTTTTCCTATTGTAAATTATAACGTTATATATATTCAAATGGTAGTTATTAAACAATCAATGTATTAATAAATTCAATTGTTTTAGATTTATAACGTTGTCGTAAACAATTGCAATGTAAACGCCGATTTTTTTTGTTTTAGATATCAGGGTATTGTATCAGCCTTTTCGTCAACACATTGTCGAGGCAAAACGGCTTTATCATGAGTATTTAACCTGGTTATCGCCTACGCGTGTGGGTTTATTGAATTAATATGGTGTTAATAGCAGGCTATCACGCTTTATGACCTTTTCCTAAATATTAATTCAAACGTGTCAGTGCACAAACACGGTATACTTTCTTTGTTATGTCTCGATACTTGTCATGTTTATGTATGAATATTTCCTTCATTGCTCTCGCATGTCAGGATTTTATATGTTTTCTATACGAATTAAGGTTTGCCACAAGTATCCCGCCCTCAGATTAATCGCTTTTATACTAAAGCGATTACCCATGACACTCGCCATGCCGAGACGCTTTAGTCTCTTGGATAAGTAACTGCATGTTATAGGAAAGATAACATAATATTTACGTTATAATATTTAGTTTTCTAAGCAATAAAATGAACTGCAATATCGAACAACAGCTCGAGTTATCTTCCTAAAATAATAAAAATCAATAGTTTGGTGGTATTCTTTATTTATATACGCGTATACCCCCTGCTCAATACATACCTACGTAATCTTTCAATAATTTGTACACCCTGCTTGATAGTAGGTACGCAATGAACTTAGGGACAGGGGAAAGTCCCTTTATTAATATAGCTTCCATTTTATTGCATAAAGAAAGTAGGGTTCAGTTTTAGGCATTGTTTGCCGTAAAGAGGGTTTTAATTCATTTAAAACATACTTTAAAAAAAAAAAAGATTAGTCGAATCTTAAGATAAGACATTTGAAAAGCTCTACAATTTCTAAAGATGCAGAATAATAGAGCGAAACGAGCTATTCAAGCTTCGCTGGGAAAGCCATTTGAATGTTTCTGCTCTTTGTTAAAGGTATGTAAAGCACTTCATGGCTTCTTCAAGTGCTTTGTTTCTTAYTGTAATTCATACCGACTGACAATGCTTTGAGTAATTGCTGTATTTCTCAATTCAATCGTTCGGATCTAATCACTTGAGGAGCGCTAGGTGTTGTATCATATCAGCGACGTATCAGCTATGGCTTATTGTGAGGTGAAAGTGCCTTTTTTTATCTAGATCTCTATTATAATTTAACCCTGTTAGTATAAGTACCAACACGTGGCATGAGAGTCGATCTATTGAGAGGCGATATGGTGTTAATAGCAGACTACCAGACACACTTCATAAAGTCATCACCACATTTGATGACATTTCTAAATACTGAGCAAACATCTCAGTGCAGCACTCAAAATAAACTCAATCCCTTTTGTTTTGTTATAAGCTTTCCTGTTTCCTTTGAGGAAAATAAGGTTATACTCACAACGTGCCTTAATTGCTCTCATTGAGAGATATTTATCGCCTTAACGTTTAACACTGAGATAAGTGAATTATTTATCGAGCCCTTTAGCCTTAAACACGAGATATTTGACTCGTGAAATAGATATTTCCGTATACTATCCATGCACTGTTATGCTTAAATTTTTTCCTAAGAATATTGTATAAAAAATAATTGTTATTACAATATGTCATTTATAATGTATCTATATATATATATTTTTAACTTACGAAAATAATGTGCAATGTTTTAAAAGCTTAGCATTTCTTTCTCAGTTTTGCAAGGTATTCTTTCTTTTTTAATATTGGTATTTCTTCTTTATTAATTCTACAGCCTAGCGTTTTAGTAATTGATGGTTACGAGATTGTTGTTTGCGAATGTCCCAATAACATTTCTGGCTGTAATTGGAAAGGGAAATTGAATCATTATTTATTGGTACGTATATTTAGTTTTACGATGAATTGTTTTTACCACTTAAATATCTGTACTTTAAAATTAGTTTGAAAATCTTTTGGATTTCCTTTTTCATTTCTGGTTCAAACTGGGAGAGTCTAAGTAGCAAGCAGTTGATGTAATGTATTCATAAAAATACAATGAATCGCACCTAATACAATAGATAGGGTGACAAGAGAATACAATAGATTTTCTGAATGCATATACATCAACTGAGTGCTATGTAAGGTAAATTCTCCCGGTTAAAAAAACATACTGTAAATCCTCTATTTAGCCCCCCCTCTCTAATAAGCCCCCCCTTTTTAAAGGAAGAAATTTGTTAGGCCCCCCCCTCTCTTTTAAGCCGCCCCCCCTCCCCTCCCGCTTCACAACTAAAGAATCACGTGTTAATGTACCAATTAATGGAACATTTAATGATTGTTCAGAACATTTATTTTCAGCTTGCTTTGTTAATGTTACCGTGTTTTAGTTTTGCTATTCACAATGATCATAAATTATACCTGAGAGACTAACACAGGTGAATCAAATAAAAAAAATGCCATGTACATCACTACAGATTATGTGAGGCGGTCAATTTAATCCTGAGTTACAATCATATTACATCATGACAGCATACAACTTACTATGTTTCGACTAAATCAATAAGCCCCCCCTCTCAATTAAGTCCCCTCTCTCCAATAAGCCCCCTCTCTCCAATAAGCCCCCTATCAAGCGTGCCTGAAATAAATAAGCCTCCCGGGGGGCCAAATAGAGGATTTTATACGGTGACATAAAATCTCAAACTGAAAGGTATTCTGGGAAGTGAGGCAATTATAAAAGYTTTAAGTTGAAAATCAGTCTGTATATTATCTCTGTTTAGGATCACAGAAAAAGATGTAATTTTCAAGTGGTACAATGTTATTGCGGAAATCAAATGTATAAAGGGTACATTGCGCATCATCTTAGTTCGGAATGCAAGCACAGATTGGTAAGCATATAAAGCATAACAAAACAAACAAAAATATTCATTATTATTATATAATTACCAATGAAATATCTTAATTTTTCTCTATTTCGAAAAAATTATATCTTCACACGTGAAAATAACATGTTATTACAAATATCACCTGGATTCGAGGTTAAGCCCATATCACTTGACTTTAAGAATCGTGAATACGTTTTGATTGGGGAGGACATACACTTTTTCAGTAACCATTTTCAACTACTATCCGAACAATATTCAAACCCTCCATTCCTTCCGCCCATGAAAAAATATCTACCACATCAAATGCAAAAGGAATATATTAATCTCATAAAACAAAAAAAAATGGTGGAAATTAACTTCTTAGTTTGGGAGCAATACTCCCCCGCCCACCTTTAAAGCTCTGCAGACTGAATAGTCTTAATTTTTAATTTCCAAATTGATGATATTTTGATTAATTATATATAGGTCGATTATAAGCTGACTTATGAATTAGATGATATGTATGGACATCAGGAATGCCCAAGGTGCTGTTGTAAATGGTATGGCACTTGCACAAAATATGAAAAGGTAACGTTAGTTTAGAGCGTAAGCAATATATTCATGAAACAATTTATAACTAGCTATATGTAAATAGCAGGGATCTAGCACTGAAAAGTATTTAGTAATCAACTATACTGACAGCATTTAGATGTCTAATGGCTGTTGTTTGTACAAAATAGCAGCAAAATAGCTGCAATTAGACAATACATCTTTAGCTTTGCTACACTGATTATTATGCCGCATATACTCTATGAAATATGCACTACTAAAAACTTTGAAAATTATCAACATCCTTTCCATCATCATCACCACCATCATCATATTATATCACCATCATCTTCATCATCATCTTCATCATCACCATCATAATTATCATCACCAACAACATTATCACCATCATCTTCTTCATCGTTATCATCGATATCACCATCGTCATTATATCACCATTATTACCATCATCACCATCA